CTTTATGAATAGAAAGGTTTGCATAACATCATGCAGTAGTAGTCAGTGACACAATGCAACTTAAAGAGAGATGGAGTGACAAAACACAAAAGTAGTGGTCCATCGTTCAAATGAAGAAGGAGAAAACTATAGATAGGGCATAATTAAAAGATAAGATCACAGACGGCAAAGAGTGTGCAGGATGTGTCTGAACTAATGTGCATAAGGCCTGGTTTGGTTTGCCAGTAGTAGAATCAGGTTGTTATTGTTGAGCAGGTATAGCCTCAACAGCTGAGGGAAATGAAGCCACCTGCTGAACTTGAATATCTTTGAGAGTACTTTACAATAAAGCCATTTTAATTGTTTCGGAGTGCCTTGGAGTATCACAGTTAATCTAGTTATATTTGTTGGTGCGTCTTCAACTCAAGATATTTAGCAGTTATGACGATGTCCTAAAGATCAACAAGCTAAAGTGAGGTAAAGTTAGACAGTGGCTTGGATGGAGATGCTACAATAACCAAGTAAGACAGACTTTGTTCCTCCTATAATGGTTTCTTTATGTTCCATTTAACATAATGTCCTGTTTCGCAACAAAACCCTGAAAAGACTCCCAACCAGGATACTAATGTTTGTACCAATGTCCTCTGTAGAAACTCAAAGATAACACAGTTAATTTCTAAACAGCACAGATGTGGAAGGAGAATTCAAGATGTTGCTGAAACCCAGAATAAGAAACTTGGGTTTAACTCGGGTAAAACACTGAGGGGATCAAATAAATGTCTCTTTTTCGGGGGGGTACGGCTGTACCCGAATGCCCTGCAATGGGCCTGTGAGTTCTGATGCAAAGCACGCTGGGACGCCATGCTCAGAGGAGAAACTCTTAAATTAGAGATTGTCAGGACACAGACACATTCACTCACACACAAACACGCAGGCATGGAAAACAGCGCGACGCGTTTTAAAGTTCATCTGCAAACTGATTCTGTCAGGGAGACTTAGTGACGTGCGGCTGCCTCCTACAGCTTTCCTCCATAACGCTGCCGCTCGGCATCGGCGTGGTGCTGTCCACCGGGGAGAAGGAGAGGCGGCAGGCTCTAAATAGAGCCTCCTCGGTTAAATATTAACACTCGCCTTCCTCTGACAGAGAGCAGCCCGCCATGTCGCCTTCCATCTGCACCGCGGGGAGATGCAACACAGCATAGCACTCAACCACACACAGAAACACATGGACACAACACTATGGACACAACACATACACAGAAGTGAAGTTATGTGTGCTCTTTGAAAAGGTGATTGCATTTTTATGCCAACATTATAAGGAACTTTTTAGGTCTCCGCAATTAAAACATCATCTTATTTTTATCAATAGAGCATCGAAATCCACAATTTCTAGAATGTTAAGTCAAAATATGTTCTGTCATTCGATACCTTTCAAGTTTTTAATATCTTAACTCCTTTTGAGTTAATGCCATGTTGAAAAATAAATTCAAAGTTATTCTGGAGCAGCTTCCTCATGTGAAAATGTACATAGAATAACATTCGAGTCTTGTTTCCCTGCCGGTATTCAGCTACCTGCTATATCAGTGTAAGCTCACACACACAGAAACACACGCTTTGCATAACCAGTTGGAAAGGTGTCCTTGGAGGAAGCGGAGTGTGTGTGGAGGGAGAAAGGAAGACGACAGATTGACTTATCTGACAAGTCAAAGAAAAGCAGTGTGTGCAATATGCTACTCCTCACTAGAGACCTAGTGTATTGAATAAAATGTCCTTTTAAAAAAAATGATAAGGAGATCTGTGCACAGAGATGCTGCGATGCACTATGGTGTCAGCTCAGTATCTCCAGGAGTTTTGTTCATATTGGAGCCTTTAGCGCACAATCTGAGAGCAAACACAGGCTGAAAGTGAAGGTGGAGGTCAAAGAGGAGTTGGTGAAGGGGCATGTGGCACATTCCATTTGTATGCAGAGGCCTGGAAGTCATGTCCTGTCAAAATCCAGCAGTAACATTTGCTTACATTTGCACAATCTTCCCCAGTGTTTCAGTTGCCTAACCTTAACCTTACTATTTGACATAATAACCATTACATTTCCCAGTAACAATCATATAACAGCCTTGGCATGTGCAAAAGATAAATCCTGCTTTCAAACCCAACACCAACCTTTACCAAATGTTAACGTAAAACACTTGAGTTAGAACCAAAACAGACTGACAAGAATTCAGAAATCTCAACCCAGACACACCCAAAACAATACTAGCTACTGATATAGCAACAACAAGTTAACACAATCTGAGAGACAGTTTACTAGGTGCTTTGACATAATAAAGTAACTATAAAAAGGCACATGGAGCAAATATACATGCGCTCAACAAAAAGGCACAGAGCATAACATGACAACAGCTCCACCAATATATGAAAAATGCACTGTACAGCCACAGTGAGTATTATAATAACGTTATCACAGTATGCACTGCACTGCAAGTCCACAGTGTATCATAACTTTTTCAGAGTGGGCGTAAATGAGCACTGCACAACCATGGTGTATAATAATTTCATCAGAGTACACTGAAGGGCCAACATGCATGCAACAATAAGTTATCACAGTATACACACTGCACAGCCAAAGTGCATGTTACAAAAACTGCCGAAGTGTATTAGCCTAATGCACAGCCAGTGAATTTAACACTAACTTCATAATAGTCTGAACATAGCTCAGTGCACATTACAATAAGTTCAGCACAGTAGGCCTACGTACGAACAGCACTGCATAGCCACAATGAATATTAAAATAACTTCATAATAGTATGAAAATAGCACTGTACATCCACAGTGCATAATACAATAACTTCCACATCCTATGGAGCCACTCACCTGTTGATGCTGTCCTCCCTCCTGCCTCCAACTCCAGTATCCCACTTTGAATCCACTTTCTGCAACACTTTTAAGCTGCAAATGGCGATTTTTCCTTATCTTCCTTTTGTTTGTTTTCCTGCTCTCCCTCTGCAATATCCGTGTGGTCCCCCATGCTAACGTTAGCACTACTAGCTGAAGCTGCACCGTCGCTAGTAGCTACACCTGCAGCCCGGCCGATGGCCTAGGGGGTAGTCTAGGGGGGTGTCATGTTTTTGTTGTTATTTTTCCACAGGTTCCCTCTTTAGCAATCACTGCTTTATATTAGCTTTTTTATTTCTTCGCCTCTTTTATTTTGGTAACTCAGTTCATTTAATTGTAGCCTGGCAACGCTGGCAACGTTAAATTCGATAAACGCTCAATTTCCTACTTCCGCCCTCACTTCACTTGACCTCACTTATTAGGGATTATTGGAAAAATAAACGTGTTTATTAAAAGGTAGCCCTACATTTGGACCAGTTTTATGTTTAGTCTGACCCTGCATGCATAAAAACATTTGAATCAAAATAATCAAAGACAACATTATTATTAGTGTTGGTTATTTTATTGTAAGCCTAGTTTAATTTTAAAGGTGGGGTATGTAATTTATTTCAGAAGCACTTTTTGTTATATTCCATGGAATGCTCTTAACATCCCGATAGCAATGAATATATTAAATGCTTTGCCAATAAATACACAAAAATGTTTAATCTGTGGAAACTGTGGCGCTGTAAAAAGCACGACCAATCATCTGAGCCAGTTTAGGTACCATATCTGCACGGCCTACCAGATTAGCACGGGGTC